AATATAACTTCTGAAGAAATAATAGATTTAATCACCAAAAACTCAACTTTGAAATTCTCAACTCATTTAAAATAACTGACAAACGTAACAGTGTAGTGAAACAAAAGATGGAATGCACTCCAGTTGCATTTAAATTGTTAATGAACCAAAGTATTATCAATCAAGAATGAAGGAGCCATAAAATCTCCGAATTCTTTGGTGTACGATGCTCCTTCATTTGCCAAGCTTTGGGTCATTCTATAAGAGAATGCAAACATAGAAACTATTGTGAATTTTTTTATGGTAACCATACTGTTAAAGAATGTAATGTTGAAAATCCAATGTGCATTAACTGTAAACTGCATAATGATGCTAATAACTCTGATCTTAACATATAACACCCTGCATAAGCACCAAACTGTCCGACATATCAAAAGAAAATTTATGAAACCATAAGACTGGTGTGGTGTATGTGGTTATGGCAGTCTCCAGGTCTTGCTAAGGGAAGGGATTCTTTTGTGGAGAACTTTCTAAGGGAAACTATAAAGTCAAGAAATGAATCCAAAATAACAATAAATACAGACCAACAGTTAATGCACTTTGTTAAAGACTCCCAACTTTTACTTAAAGCTTATAGCTTAATATTATCATAATGTCTACAGTTTTAATTGAAAATCAAGTTATAACATTTCTCAATAAGAAGCAATAATTGATCCAATTAATTTCAAAACTCCAACGAATCTCACTAGAAGACATCCAACCACCAATCCAAGAATCTACAGTAGACTAAAACCTCCAACTCAAAATCTCTTTCCTGATTATCTACTCAAGATGGTTAAAAAATGGCATTGGTCATAGGCTGTGCATGTATTGTGATAATTAATTAAGATTTGGGCTTCCCTGCCTCGTGAAACTGAATCACATTACAGGTCTGCACCCCCTTTGGGCACGTCGTGGAGGTTCCACCTCCACTATTACCCTCCAGAGGAGCAGCGCACCACCTGGAATTCACCAGGCAGCACCGGTCGTCTAATGCTCCTACCAGTCTTGGGCGAGCCCGTCGCGCAGACCTACCAACGAACCCGGGGGAGAACCCCCGGCTTACTAGTACCACGCGTGTAGGACTGCCGACTCCGGCCGGCCATTGTGACTTTCCCAGAGCCTTCAGAACCACCAAGTTCATAAATTTTATACCCCCATGACCGAGACTGCCTAGTACAGATCATAGCCAGTAGCTTCGCAGAATTCTCTACGTCGACCCCCGGGGGGGGATGTATTGTGATAAGAAGTGCAAAACAAAAAAAAAATTAATAACAGCTGGACGTGCTAAAGAAAATGGTATATTTCAATCAGAACTCCTTGCAATCAAAATGGTAAAAGATCACTCAATTCAAAATAATCTACAGGAAATAAATATATTTACAGATATTTAATCTGCAATTCTTGCTCTACAAAATATTAAACAGAAGTCTGAAATTGTTCAAAAAATCATTAACATAACCCCTCAATATTCTGTGTTATCTCCATGTATGTATTGGGTTAAAGCCTATAGGAATGGGTTAAAGCCCGTAGGAATCTGCAGAAACGAAGAAGCTAACATAGTTGCAAAATCAGCCATAACTTGCAGTCATATTCCATCAGTGCAACAAACTTGGCCAAAATCTTACCTTCATTATTACCTTAAAAAAAATCAGCTTAAACATTTGGGAAAATGAATGACAAAACATTGACACAGGAAGACAACTTTATCAAATTGCTCTTCATGTTAACCAAAAATCCACAACGGTCAATCGCTACATAAATTGCTTTTTACAGGTCACAGCCATTTTCCCATGTACTTCTTAAGTAGAAATATCTTGAACTACTCTGATCAATGTGTATGTGAGGAAAAGATGAACCTAATCATTATATCACTAAATGTCCATTAACGATATCCACCCATATCGTTACCTACTTTAAAAATACCAGTGCCTTTGTCATATTTGCTATCTATCAAAAATAAGCATTTAAAATGAAAAATACTATAAAATACCTATCATCCATAGGAGAAGATCTTTGTACAAATTAATTAATTATATCCTAACAAAATAAGTCCATTCAAGATAGTGCAGGATTTACGTATAAGCACTTAGGCCCCCCAAAATTAAAATGTAGTTATATATATAAATAAAATAGTATATTAAATTAGTATATATAGTATACATAATATAAATAAATATAGTATAGACTGAGAAAGGGCCCCCATATCTCAAATAGCTTAGGGCATCATCAAGTCTAAATCCGGCCCTGAAGATAGTCTCTCAGTGTATTGTAATGAACTGTTATAAATAAAATATTATGAAGAATTATCATAAATGAACTAACATGTTATGGAAACTATTATGACAGAAATGTAATATTTCATCTAATATGAATGAACTGCTAAGAAAATACGATCTAATATTAAGTTCGTGTGCAGTTATGTAATAGTTTGTTTTTGTTTATTTTATCCTTTGAAGTTACATTTTACATAGCATCATCATTTGATAAAAAAAATTATTTTTGTAAACTGTGTTAGTTTTGTTATATTAAACAACTCCGAAACAAAGTAACATCATTTGATGAAATTTTTAACTTTATATTACGTACGAATTCTTTATATGCAAACTATTAAATGAATAAACTATATTATATTAAACATCATTTGATGCAACTCTATAAAACATATTTTATAAAGTATATAACAGAATATTTATAGATATACCATTAATGAACTTTTATAAAATTAATGAGCTATTATAAATAAATTATTCTAACAGATGTATGATTAAAAACTATTATTCAGAACTATTATCTTTCAACTAATAGGAATGAAGATCATAAACTATTATGAAAATCATAAAAATAATGAACTTCTGTGAAATTATTTTATTTTACGAAACAATTATCCATATATAAAGTAATGAACTATTGAATTAAAGAACTATATTATACTAAAATGCTGCTTTTCAACTTCAAAACTGCTGTGAACTGAACTGAACTTATTTGTATTCTTACGAACTTTATAAGACTTTCAAAGATTATATAGCCTGTCTTTAAAATTACATACTACTGGTAACTTCGAAATTCTGTTATATTCAACTCTTCTTACATTACATGTTGCTTATATTTATTATACACGATTTTAAATTTTAATACCCACCTATTATTACAAAATTTAGTGAGTAGTAAAATTTAAAATTGTGTATAATTAAGAATAATAATTGTGAATAATTTAAAATTGTGTATTATAACTGTTACAAACACACTGGAATTGTTTCCAAATATTGTAAGTGTGAAAGCACCATCTGCAAAATGTAAATTTATATTTTTAATGTAAATATTCAAAATTTATAAATGCCGGAGTCTTGGTTGGGAGTCCCAGTGCTCTCAGAAAGTGTCAGGCTTGGCAGTATGAGGTAATCAAGAGCTGAAGTGCCTTGACATCTCAGTGAACTATGTGGGTTTAGTTTTCTCTAGATTGAATTGTAGTGCGACTATGCCAACATTACTTATGAAAAACATTGGGTGTCCCACCACGTTTCTGCCTACACCTGCACATGGTTCCCAAATTCAGCAGTTGTGAGTATTCACTGCACCATCCAAATGAGTACACACTTCACATGTCCAGATGCTATTCCAAGGCCATTCTTGATTGACCTGAAAGCAAGCAAAAAACTGAGTTGAGAACTGAAGTCGAGCGTCAAACTAGTATGGAAGCATCTACTGTAGTGAAAGTTTGTAAGGATAATATCAAAGGATATTCTGCAAGATCTTACGGACCGTGAACATGGCTCAACTAGAACCTCTGCTACACATTGGACATTGGTACTAGCCTGAAAGTATGAAGCTGTGTCATTTACTGCCTGAAGTGCAACCTCCTTTACTTCTGCAGAAACAGGTTTTCTTTATCTTGCAGGATGAATAGGAAATGATCCTGTTTCTTCAAATTTAGTTATTTTCTGAAGGTTTTAAACTTTCATTTAACCTCTTTGAATGCCCTTTAAAGTCCCAAATTTCTGTAGAGCAGCTACTGTGAATTGCTGGTAAAATAATTTTACAAACAAAGTGCGATCTCGTAAACTTATTGTCTTTGTGAGCAGCAAGCATATTGAAGACAAAATCTCTACATATGTTTCTGTGTCTTATAACAGCTGTTCCATAACATAGACAAATATTTACATTTTTACTATAGGTTTTCAAACATAAAATGCCCTCTGGTGTCGTTGTTTGTAACTAATTTTTTTCACTGAAGGACATTCTCATTCCTTCACTAAGCTTCCACAAAATTTAGTGATTATCTGTTAACTGATTTTGCCTGTAGGCAGCTTTGAAATGGGATTTTTTTAATTATGGAAACCCTGTGTGTCTCCAGAGAGAGAGAGAGAGAACTGCTAACATCCGAGGCCTATTGACCCAGCTTCATCTCTCCAAGTTGGCTTAGTTCAAAGCATTAGTGATTGTGTGAAGGTTTGGGTACTTTTCTTTTGAGAAACATTCAGTCTATTATTATGTTTGCAAAAACCTTATCATGTACATTTCTTCATGGCCACTTTTATGTACTCTGAAGGTGGTATATTTCAACATGATGACATACTGCATTGCTACCACCCTAGGCAGGATTTAAGGAGCGCTCATCTGAATTTGAAGTCATCCAGTGCTCTTCAGAGTCTGTGGATTTAGCATTAATGGTACCTTCTTGATTAAAATAGTCTTATCTATTAATCTTCGACCACCATCTAGGGAGGAGTTGTCCACAGACAGACTTTCACAATATATTTGCAATGAATGACTGTATTAAGACAGTTTTTCAGCATATAAAGTTCGCCATTCATAATAAAGGAAAACCAGTGTGTTAAGTAAATGTAAGTAATGGCCTGGTCATTTAGGATAGTTAGGCTGTTCTTTAATTTTTATTTTGTACCCATGTATATTTCTGTAGATAGGATAGATTAGTAGATTGATGTGAAAAGACAAAATAAATTATATAATTCTTTTTTCAGGTCATCATAACCCCTCATGTTTCTGCATACTCCAAACCTGATCATGTGAGTTATACTCTAAGAATATTTTCTGATGTTTCATATTTTTGCATTTTTGCTCTTATAATTATATTATTGGATCTGCTTAATCTTTTGGCAAGCATAAACTGTTTTTCTACATTTAGCATTGTAATCTGTCAGTATATGGAACAAAGCCTAAAGCAGTAATCTAAAAGTACAAAATAATAGTGTAACAAACCATAAAAGCTGTAGCTTTCTTCCCTCATTTTGAGGTTTGTCGGAGGCACTTTGTTCTGCTCCTCCTAAGTTTTAAGCTTGGATTCAGCCACCATTAGTTGTAAATAAAAAACAACTTTGCAGTGACTTTTGGAGCCGCCATAGCAGAAGGATACGTAATCAACTCCCCTCTGTAATGTTTTTTGTAATTGTTTTATGTTATGTCTCTAAAGAAAATACTTTTTAAGTTATTTGTTGAGTCATTATTGCAAAAGAAATTCACTCTTCCATATTAATATAATAGCAATTAATTTAATATTCATTAATCCACTCATTATTATCTTTCATAAGTTATAGAGTTCTAATCATAGTTTTTAGGGTTTTGAAGCACAAGAGGCCTGATAAAACAGTGCTCAAATAACGAAATACTAGAAAGCAATTAAGAAAGTCATTAATAATGGCACTGTTCAAGAATTTCATTTGTTTTCTAAAAGTGCATGCTGAGGGTGTCCAGTTTAAAATCTTGGTGCAGCAGCTGACAAAGTGATGCACATTAATAGTAATGTACAGGAAGCAAATTTGAACTTTCTGCAGTTCAAATCAAGATAGAAGAGAAACACACCTCTAAAAAATCATAAAAGTGAAGCAACAACCTGTGTTAGGCATAGATATTTAGCATAGAAACTCAATTGATTTCGAGGGCAAACAAAGTCCCTCTTCATCAACAGCAAAGAAATTTGCAACTGAAAAACCAAGTTACGAATGTATTATACCCTAAGAAAGTCGAGAGAGTAGCGCCATCTGTTAGTAGAAATAATAACAAAATTTTAAAAATTAGGATAATAGAGATTTAAAAGCGTTAGGTAGGATTGGATTAAAATCATTAACTAAGCACTGTAAATTGTTATGAATGTGAAGAGTTTCAAGAAAATATAATTCTCCAGGGAAAAAAAAGCTTTCTGGATAAGTTTCGCAGACCCAAAATCGAAATTGTGATTAAACAGTAAGAGTATATAAGGTGGATGAAAAGTGTGTCCGCAACTGGAGCAAACAGCGTGATCAACTGGCTGCCTTGAACAAAACAAAATGTGTGTTTCGTGGTTTGAAATTTAAGTTTCCGAGCTTAGGAAAAACGTAGTTGTGTATGTTTGTATGCATGATCAAGGGCATGTAGTAATAGGGGGATGTTCCAAATAAGAGCGCTTGTTGCGACATGAGAAGACGACATTCCTACATCACAATTTAAGGCGAGTGAAGGCTGGTTGTGGTGAATGATGAAACAAAATGGATTTTCATATATAGCATCAGAACAGATTTTTTAAAAAAAATAATATGTATAAGATATTAAAAGAACCAACGTTTCTTTACTTTGTGTAAAAGTAAATATAAAAATTGCAAGTGTTGGTTAATTTGTGCCTGTATATTGTGCTCCTGTGACATCTAATATGTGCCGAGTGTTGATCACATAAACAGTGTAACTTATATATGTGGATGGGAAAAAGTGAGTTTGTAAAATTTTAGGTAGCTATTAAACAATTTTAAATTTGATACTTTTATTACGTATGCCATTTTCTTCTACTTAACTTGGCTGTTTGAAATGAAATTTACACCCAAAATTCCTCACAAGAAAAAGCGTGACATTTGAACAACCTGTGTAATGTCCACACCTGCATTTTAGTGAAAAAAGTGTGGACATTACGTGAGCATATACAGTAGATCAAATATGTGATAACTTATCACATATTCGATCTAACTTGTATTATATATGTGGATATATGTTCAATATTATATTATATATGTTCGATTTAGTTCTCATAGAAGACTTATCACATATTTTATTTATTATTAATTCGATTGATCCATCCATTTAGTTCACATTTGAATATGAATCTGACAATACTCTTCCCTTCTTGATATTCTTATAATCCACAGTGAATCTGATTTCAAAACTACAGTGTACCGTAAACCCTTTTCTCTTAGTTTGCCTGTCCATGTCACCCGACTAAATAAAAAAAATGGCTCTTTTTACTAGTTTTTGGGCTCTCAGAGTTTGTTCCTTTGAATCTCTACTTGATAATGAACTCAATTATTTGAGAGCAGTTGCCACTGACAGAGGATTTTCTCCTGTGGCCATTGATAAAGCTCTTAGAAAGTTTTCCTGTTTCCATCCAAGAAAACATTTTGCTGTGAGAAATATTATTAAAAACCTAGTCATGCTTCCCCTTCATCTTTCTGTCAGTTACAAAATTGCAGAATTTTTTTAGGAGTTCAAATTTCTAGTCATTTTCTCACCTATCAATAAAATCCATGATCAGTTCTTAAAGATACTATTTCTGACTTCAATTCTTGGGGAATTTATAGCATTTCTTGTCAGTATGGTTCGAGATATATCAGCCAAACCAGAAGAGTATTAAGGTTTCGCATTAATGAACAGGAATCTTATGTACGAAAAATCAAAGTGATTAAAATCACTTAAAATCAAAGTGATTTTATAATCATGTACTTATATCAATGTTTCACTATATAAAATTTTGATTTTGGGCAATTCTTGGTTTGCAGATTTTTATAGCAATGAGAATAATTTTATCAATTGCTTGTGTTGCCCTTTTTTAAATACATGAACAAATACTTCTACTGTTTCATTGAAAATATGTCCATAGTGTATTACTAAATTTGCACTTTTCACCTAAAATTAAAATCGTTCTTTACACTTTGTTTAAGTTAATCATTATTTATTAATTATTTTTATATTTTTGCTTATGAGTAAACTGTTGACAGTTCAATTTACATCTGGTTTGCAAGTGCAGCTCTTTACAGTTTTCAAATTGGTACTGTTCTTCAAACTAGTAAATGTTGTTGCGAAGTACAGTCAGTGTCAAAAGTATTCATACAGTAAAAAAATCCTTTCTTTATTTCAAGAAATACATCTCTTATTTTTATTTATTTTGAATATAATTCAATTTAATAAATTAAAATGAAAGTCTTCACAGTTTATTTTTTGCATGGAATATGCAAAATTATGCCATTTGTGCAATGGGCAAAAACTATTCATGCATCCTCTCTTTTGACATAAAAGCAACTCAAAACATGTAACTGCACTTTGCAGTTAACTACTTTGAAAACATATGTATGTAATTTTCGCTATATTTTGATTTATTTTGTCACTTGTAGCTAAAATAAGGGGAAGTACATTAGAAGAAAGAAAATTAGTCATTAATTTGATGAAAGAAGAGAAAAGCTGCTGTGAAACTGGAAAATTTTTAGGTAAGAGCTTTGCTACAGGTCAGAGTATAACAAAAAAGTATATAGTATGCAGAACTCTCACAAATAAGACCTGGCATTGGACGTTCGCACACACTAATGCTGAGATGTAAAAGATTTATTTTCAAAAAAGTTAATACAGTACAAAGTCCAAGATCTGGACTCATCGGGACGTCAGCAATTCCGGATTGGGGATTTTTCTGGGTATTAGATCATTAATTTAAATCTATTAAGATGGCATGCAGAAATTATACAATTAAAAAAATGAAATCGTGATTTATGAAATAAAGAGCATTTACACTGGTGTGCAAAAATTAAGACGAAGTTGAAAAATTAGCATATCAGCTGAACGAAGAGGCAGAGCGGACAGAAAGACCAATCAGGAGATTAAGTACAGGAGGAAGTGCCTGAGTAGTATAAAGCATGTTGTCGGTGTAAGATCAGTATTTCTGGCAAAGAGATTGCATGCCGTATAGCAGTTAAAATCACACCGACTTCCTGCCTCAGCGAGAAATGGCAAATAATCAATCTGTTAGACAACATCTGGATGCTTTTTACCCGAGTTCGAATCATTGGGAAGTTGGAGGAAGGCCGCAGTGTGACAAGTGTGGCTGCAGAGTTCGGAATTGCTCACAACATCGTTTCACGACTTTGGAGACAATTTCAAACTACAGGAACAGCTATCCGGGGGTTTAGTAGTGGTCGTCCATGAGGAACCACACCCGCAGATGACCGGTATATTGCCTTACAGGCCAGAAGAAACAGGCGGCAGAGAGCGGGAGAAATCGCTAGACCCACGACACAGGCGACTGGACGACCGATATCGCGTTTTACCGTGGCCGGAAGACTGCACGGTGGTGGTCTGTTTGCACGACGCCCTGTACGGTGTGTACCTTTAACGCCTGCACATCGGAGAAGGCGTTCTCTGTGGTGCCGGGAACACCGGAATTGGAGAGACCATGAATGGGGACGAGTACTCTTTACAGATGAGAGCAGATTCAGTCTGAGTAGCGATTCTCATCGCATACTCATCTGGAGAGAGCGGGGAAGCCGCAATCATCCCTCGAACATCATTGAAAGGGACAGGTATGGAGGTGGCGGTGTTCTCGTTTGGGGAGGCATCATGCTTGGTAGTCGTACAGACCTTCACATCTTCAACGCAGTCAACGGGACCCGTTATTGTAACGAGATTCTTCTTCCATATGTGCGTCTTTTTAGAGGCGCTATGGGTCCGCAGTTCCTTTTTCATGGACGACAATGCACCATGTCATCGCACAGTAGCTGCCGAACAGCTCTTAGAGAGTGAGGATATTGAACGTGTGGATTGGTCGGCATGATCTCCGGATCTCAATCCCATCCAGCATGTATGGGATTTTGTAGGCAGACGCTTGGCAGCTCGTACCTTACCACCAGTAACGATTCCGGAGCTTCGATTGGCGCTGCGAGACGAATGGGCAGCAATGCCTCAACAACTCATTGACACCCTCATTCTCAGCATGGGCAGACGCTGTGAAACCTGCCTAGCAGTCAGGGGAGATCATATCCCCATTAAAGACCGGATGGTTTCGGCCTTCAGTCGCATTGCGCTCCATGCTCTTTTTTCAATAAAGCTTCTTTTTATCCCTCTGATTTCTCTTTTAGTAAGTGTTGCTTACATTACTCATGTTCTTACGTATTGGGGATCTGATGGTATTAATTGTGTTGATTTGGAAAGCTTTTGTACAAAGTTATATTGAAAAAACCGTCTCGTCCTTAATTTTTGCACACCAGTGTATGATCTAAAGGGTATCAAAATTTACAAAAATGCTTAATATTTATTTGTTTGCTTTATTAAACATTTCTGTAAATATAAGTTGTTTAAGTTGCTTCATTTTTTTATAATACTTTCTCTTTAATTCTATAAACAGACATAATTTCTTGTTCAGTTACAAAGTTCCGCTGTTCAAGTCCTGTAATTGCTGTGTCCAGAATTCCAACTAACTGTCAATCGAAATTTTTTCATTTTCAATAACCTCTCTGTCACTTTCTTCACTCTCAGTAGCAGTATTTTCTGGATCTAGAACCATACTACAGATTTCGCCGTCCATTAATTGATTGATGATTGGAACATTGTCATTGCAAAGAAAAACTTCTATTATATCATCTTTATTTATTACTGCTTCTCCACATTTCTTTACAAAATCCATAATTGGAAAATTTCACCTTTGGTTTGCGATATCCAAAAACCTTTAAATTCGCAACTATCATCTTCACCATGAACTGTGATAGCTGGCCATAAATTATGCCAAGTATTTTTTAAAGTATCTGGAGACACATCCTCCCACGATCTTGTGATGCTCCACACAGCAGATTTTATGTTAAAATATTTAAAAAATTCTTGAATAGTCTTCTAATTTTTCAAGAAATTTAACATGGATTTTAAAAATGCTACTTTATATTTGCATTTCAGCGGAAGTACTATTCCGATATTCATAGGCTGAACGACATATGTAAAATTTGAATGAAAGAATAATGCAGATACATTAGCTTTGTCTAAAACTTTTAAGTTAAGTATGAGCCAAACAGTTGTCTACAATCGGCAATTTTTGCGTCATGCCAGCAGAATTTAAATGATGTCGAGCCTCGGATATAAAATGATTTCAAACCAATCGTTCATTAATGCTTGTGTCATCCATGCTCTTTCATTTGCATGATATGTAATGAGAAAAATCATTACTCCTTTAAATGCTCGAGGTCATGTATTTTTCCGATTACAAAAAGTTTGCACTTGTGCATTCCTGCAGTATTTGCGCATGCTGAAGTTGTTAATCTCGCTTTGAAATCTTTGACATCAGTTGGTACCTTTTCTGTAGATGTTATCAAGGTATTTCGCAGTATGTATTGCCAGAAAAGACCAGTTTCATCAGCATTGTAAATTTGTTCTGGAGATAATTTTTCACGTAAGGAGTTCAGTGAATTCACCTGTGAATATTTCAGCAGCTTCAATACCAGCTGAAGCTTTTTCACCTGAAATGTTTAATTGCCTTATGCTATGGCGATTTTTAAATTTGGTTAACCAACCTGTTGAATATGTGCACTCAGTTTTTAAGTTCATTTCTTTATGAAATATTTTGGCTTGAGTCATTAGCATTGGACATGTGAATGGTATGCCCTCCCTGCGACGCTGTCTGACCCATTCAATCATCCATTTGTCATGATTGTCACTTGTAGCATAACAATTTTTCCATTATTCATTGTGAGTGGGGTGTTGGAATCCACAAAAAGTTCCTTTTTTCTTATGTCGTATACAGTTGACTTTCCAATGAAATACCCCTTACATAATTTTGAGACAGATATGCCTTTATACATTTTTTGCAGCAATTCCACTTTTTGTTTAATGAATATCGAAACATGCTTTTGCTTTGTAGATCCTTTTGCAGTTCCAGAATTAGAAACTCTTATTGAAATACTCAAAATCTGCTACATTAACTGAAATTCTTTAGATCAGTAAAGATAATTTTAGCCTAGCTTAATAGCATCGTTTATATATTATTGGCTATGTATCATAAGATTAGTGACGAAAGACAAATTGTTCTGCTAAAGTTTATCTTGTTTCTATAGCGTAATGAATTAAGCCTGATCTGTATTAGTTATTTATTATACCTATGTCTATTTCTTGCACATGCTTAAGGCTAATCTGCATCCTGAATAAATGAACTCACACATATACTTAAGGCTTATGTAGGGCCAGTGCTAAATACCGACTGATGCAGTCTCTACGGGTCCTAAATTCTGCTACAAAGCACCTCCGTGAGTTCTAAATTTTTGTCGCCCCCTTTGGATCCCAGTGCTTTCCCTAAATTGTAAAATTGTTTTATCCTTTAATTTTGTTGCTTGGTGCTTTTCTAAATTCCAAAAATTTTGCCTTCCCAAAATGCTGACGCTCAGTGCGGCCATATGATCTCAGATGCCAATTCTGGGTTTATGTGAATAACATATCAGTTATTCTTATTTCAAATAGCACTAAATGTAATCTTTTGGCCTACATTAACAAAATCTATTTTTGGCATATGAAAAAAATTTTTGTTGAATTTTTCCTCATCAACATTTCTTAGCGCATTTAATTGTAATCATTGCCAAACGTAATGTCAGCATAAAAGGTTGCCATACTCTTGTTATTCGATTGCTAATGTATATAAAAAAGAGTTTCGACATGGCTGCATGAGTCATTACTCAAGTTATCATGTATTGATAAACATGCATTGATGAAAGCAAAATATAATAAATAATGATTTGCTAGGTCAGCATCAGAGATAAAAAATACAATAACATATGAGGTATAAAATCAACAATGTTCCTGTGTAGAATGTTTTTTGGTTTGAGATGTATGGCAAGCAGATATGCAGCTACATAGCCAAATTATTGATATCACAAATTTATGCTTAAATGATTGCTTCTTCAATAACGAGGTATTTTATTTAGTGCCTAAGTGAAATTAAGAATTGGGTCTGTCCACGTTTTATTATAAGAGGAAAAATCAAATGCACATGGGTAAAAGTTTGGGGCTTTGAGGTCCAGATTTTAAGATCATTCCGGATATTGGGCATCCGGATCATAAGACTTTGTACTGTTGTAATTTCAGCCCCAAAACTGAAAACTGAGTTGGAACAAAAATTAGGCATTGTAGTTTCTATCTCAACAATCGGAGGTGCATTAAATGAACAAGATTTTCTTGTGCGATCTACTCAGGAAAGTTGTACATGTCTGCTCTCAATGCAAAGAAAGGCTTATCATCTTCAAACAAATTTCAAAATCGATTTGTGGCATTTTTGTGTAAGGTTATATCCAGTGCTGAATCTAAATTTAACATTTTTGAACTTGACAGAAATTTTAAAAGGCATCATATGTGAGGAAGAGCACTTTAAAGAAAAATCTTACAAGCCGCAGCAAAATCTGATGGTGGCAATATATGTGTGTGGTGGTGAATGTCTGCTTATGGAGTCAGAAAATTAATATTTGTCGAAGGAAAAAATGGATAGATTTCAATATGTAGACATTCGTAAAATGAATCTTAAACCAAGTGCTAAAAAAAAAGGAGACTGAATGGGGAAAGTGATTTCACCAGTCTGTGGCTATTTTGTAATGTGCACAGTCAGTTAAGTGCACCTCCTGAGTCACCCTGATGTAAATCTTATATAACATGCATGGGTACATTTGCAAGAAAAATAAAATTCATCAAATTTTTAATAAGATGCAATTGAAAAATGTTTTACAAGAGGAATGGGATAAAATTACAGAAGTTCATTCAATGCCCAGAAAATTAACTGCAGTCAAGAAAGCTAAAGGCTGCCTGACCAAATATTAATTAAATTTAAAATGAAGAAATGATGTGTAATTAATTGTTTTAAATCTAGCGAATGAATACTTTTGATATGTTGAGATGGGACCGAGATATTTATTTTTCTATTTCAGGTGGAAAAAGAACTCTTTTTTTTTTTCCATTTTCCTTTATTGTGTAATATTTCCAGTACATAAAAATAATATTGAATACTCATTATATCATATTCCTTGCAAACAGCAAAGGTTTCTCAACTTTTTTTGATTAGTATGTGAATACTTTTGATGCTGACTGTACGTAGTACTGTTTTGATTATTTCGTCATTATATCTCATCTGTGCTGTACATTTAATTCATAATCAGTGTATTGATTGTCAAATGAAACATACAGTTTACATTGTGTGAATCTACAGAGTGAAACTTCTTCATGCAGTGATGTGATTTTTCAGAATTCTCTGAAATTAAACATTACATTTCCTTCAGATCTCATTCATGAAATGAATATAACCCAAGTCATGAGGTTTTCATTTTCACAGCAGTCATTAGATTTAATGAAGGCATATTATGATATATTTAGACCACAGAATTGCAGAGGAAATAGTTATTGAGAAAATATTTACACGATTAGAAAAAAGACCATTTTATCACTGTTGTCTTTAGTAGAAATGGTTAATATGATATATTTCAGTATGAACTGATGTGTAGGCATTGTAGTGTCTTTTTGTGGAATTAATTTAGTTGTATATTAAATTCTGGGGAATTTAAGCTCATTGTTTTCAAAAGACATCTGAGTTTATGGAGGCTAGGTCATTGAGCAGGTCTGATGCAACTCAACATTTCAAAGATGAATAATAAAAGCGAGCTTTCAAGGGTATGTTTTTGAATCTCATTTTGATGATATTTTTGCTTTCAATTTATTCTTCAGCCATAAAGAATAAATTTAAGAATTATGATAATGAAGGGGACAGTCTGGTACCTGAGCTATATACTTTTGATTTGTTCTGTTAAAAACAAAATAAAATATTTTAGGTTGACCCGTTAAACCAAATTTGAGCAAAATTAAAGGTAGGAATTGTCGGAGCTTCATCAGCTGGAGCTAGAATGTATTACAGAGCTGTTAGAGCAAAGTACTTCAGAGCCATCCATTCTAGCTCCAGCTGATGAAGCAGACAAAAACTAAAACTAAACTCAGTGGTGCAACAGCCCTAGTGGGCCAAGGCTTGCAGTGCCCCGAAATCTGCTTTCTTGACCGTCGGCCCTGGAGTGTGTAAGCATATGCCCTGAAAAAGTGGTCAGCTTGTCGCAGGACCCCCGTGTTTAGTCCCCAAGCAAACTTGGTACACATTTTATCAACCCAAGTAATGGAAATCAAGGGATGAAAGGCTGAGTCGACCTTGCCCAGCCCGGGGATCGAACCCTGGACCTGTGGTGCTGCTGTGCAATGCGTTAGCCACTGTGACACTAGGCCTTCGATGAAGGAGGCAGGTCATATGCAAAAGTGTCAGTTTGGTTAAATGAAATTTTTTAAGAACGTCTACTGACATTCATAATTATTAAGTCTATACTTTAAGAATATGTTGATTTTAATGTAGTTTATGGAGAATTAAATAATTTATTGGATATTTACTTTATAGGTAATTTTTGGAGAATTTGGATAATGTATATGGGGTATATGTGATTTTTGGAGAGCTGGATAATGTAGTTTATGAGGTTACTGCCAGCCTCATTAGTTATACTGCTAGTGAAGCCATAACATTAGGTCCTGAATTTAGTCCTTGCAAAGGCTTGGATGTATATAGTTGTCTTTCCTGTCTTGCATTTGTAAAATCATTATGTATCTGTTGCAGTGGCGGCTTGTGGCTAAAATTAGTGAGGGGGCTGTTCCAAAAAAAATTTAACCATTGTTTCAAAATTGTCTAAAAGGAAACAAACATTTATAAAAGAAAAGTTATTTTTAAACTTCATGAAATCTTACAAGAAAAAAATTAAAATTTCTTAATTACTTTAACCAAATTGTTCAGTTCAATGTTTGTCTATTCATTAAAAATGAAATCCATTCGTCTTGTTTAATTGCGATCAATAATTTTCTCCTTGATCTCTGGATGACAACTTGAGGAAATTTTTCTTTATTGAAAGCCAATGCAAGCGTATTTAGTCCTTCCGAATTCCTAGTACTTCTTAGAAAAGTTTTCATTCTTTTCAATGTTGAAAAGCAGCGTTCTGCCTCTGATGTAGTCATGGAAACTCTGAAGAGAATTTTTATCACTTTTGTAATTTCACTAAGAACATCATCTATTAGATTATTTTCGATGATAAATTTCAGTAGCTCAAATTAATTTGCGAGTATTCATGGATATCAGACCTACAATAGAATACTTTTAGCTTAGTTTAAAGCTTTTTTTTTTTTTTTTTTTTTTTTGTTAATCATTGGATATGCTTCAGTGGTCAGTACTATTTCTTATGTAGAATGTTCATTCCTGAAATTAGCGAAGCATTTCTTGTTTAACAATTTAGCAACTGCTAAGTGTTTAGTGGAAGAATATCTGTGCATTATATCAATACATAGTATAAAGTCACATATTTCCTTAGCTTCTGCCATCAGTGTCTTTCTAAAATTCTCACAGTTCTTTGAGTTTCTTAATTCTAAAATAGCAGTTTTGAAATTTGTTATATATTCGTTAACTTTAAACACACTAATTTCTATGGATTGCATTTGTATATTATTTCAACATGAGGGATCTGATAAAAAAGCTCTAACCAAAACTTGAAATTATCACCATTTACATATTTTAAAATTCCTGTTGCTTTTGCAATAGGAACAATTCTTTCACTTGTTGTTGTTGTTTTGCATTTGATGTTGATTGAATTTCAGTAAGGCAATTTTTTAAAGGTGCCAAATTTTCATGAACTCTGTTTATGGTCCGTATGATGAAGTTCCACCTTGTGGAGGAATACTACGCGCATGGAGTAAAAAGAAATCATGTTTCCAACAACATGCCAGAATTTCGGCACTGCAAGAGTGACAGTGCTATTCTCTCTGCCCGGCTCGTGTGCTGCTTTCTTTGTGCGCATGCGTAGAACAGCCAAACACCACGTTGCTGGAACTGTGCCACAGTTCCAAAGACTTTTGTACCTTTCTCACAAAGTGGGGGAGGGCTACTGACATTAAGCTTAAATATTATGTATTGTAAAAGTATAAAGAAAGAATTAAAGACTAAAAGGCACACTATATTAAATATTAAAAATAATAATAACTAGAAATAGGGGGTGCCACACTGCTTATTACGAGCCGCCACTGATCTGTTGTCTGCGTGCTTGTGTATACTCCACTTAACTTGCATTTGTTTTCATACCTGTGCTGCATTTGCATATACACTTTCTTGCACATATAATATCAGTATGTCATATGATGTTACTTGAATAATGTTCTAGGTATTTAGGTGGCTAAATGTCCAGTATTCTTGGCCTTCCCCAAAAATGCTTAACTAGCAAGCTTCTATCTGTTGAATTAAAAAAATATGTTTTTTATTGATGAAAGCACATCGAAAAACAGCATTCAAAATATAACATGATTCATCTATTAAGTCTATTAAGTGAAACTGCAAGCTCTGAGGCATGTTTTAACATTTGCTAAATACTTATTGAGACATAAACTTTCTCAAAGCCAGAATGTATTCAGTATTTGTAATAAGCATTCATACATTCATTTATTTACTGAATTTTCCTCATTTGCATATTTTTTAGCGTAAAAAATATCATGTTAACCAGTACTTGCATGCTAATTAGATTTTTTGAATCTTTAATTTTGCCCACCAGTGTATACTTTCAGAAACATTGGGAGTTCAGTGTTGAAAGACCTTTGTTCCATAAGGGTTTGATTTTCATCTTCATTTGTGTTTATTTTTCTAAGGCATAAAATGGATTGAGAAATTTATTAGATCTGTCTAGAAAAATTATTTAATTTATCTTTTACTCAAAGTAATGTGTTTTATTTTTATAGGTTACAGACTTCTTCTTCAAAAACTACAAACGTTATGTCCATGAAGAGGAGATGGAAAATGTTGTGAACTGGTCATTTGGTTATTAATTCTAATTGTTTTGCCAAAATGCTGTGTCACATTTTTATATGTGTGCGTGTGAAAATTTTTTATCTACTGTTATAGCCTATTACGTTTTTTTATCTGTTATGAAAATTTTATCCACTTTCATAGAGATTATTTTTGAAGAATTTATGTAACATGAAATAACATAAAAATAAACTATTTTTCTTTGATTTCATAAAGGCTAAATTATTTATTGAAACTATAAAAAAATTATGTTTAAAATACGAAAATGAAATGTATTTTGAAATGCACCTTACTTACCTACCAGAGCGTGTAGTTCATCAGTGTCCAGCAGATCTGATTGTTGTTTGGGCACTATCCGACTGCTTATGATGTGGAGCATTCACCTCAGTTAACAGCAATTACACTGGTTTTAATCTGTCTACAGAATATATTGATATCTCTGCCTTTGGTGATAAGAGTAAAATTCTTGTCGTATCTCTTCACAGCTGGAAAGGGTCCATTATAAGGAGGTTCTGATGGTTTTCGAACTCTTATCAGTGCGTATGAAGACATGCATACAATTATGCAAGTCCTTATGGACAAAAACTTTTTGAGAATGATGTTGGAGAGTTTCTAGTCATTTTAACAGTTCCATTTGTTTCTCTAGTTCTTTAGCAAACGTCTCGGTATCCAAGATATCTTTTGGTTTGTCAAAAATCTGCGCAGGTAATTTGATAGGTTTTTGCATAAACCATTTGTGCAACGGTGTAATTTGTATTAACATGTAAAGCCGTTCTTAGCCTTGACAAAACTGTTGATAAGAATAACCATTTAATTCCATTTAATAGAACTGTGTGCTCTGATTGCAGCCAGTAAAGTTCGATGGATCCTTTCAGTTTTTCCATTACATTGTAGATGATATGCCATTGTTGGGCATACTTTAAATCCACAAATAACACCAAAGTTTTTAAAAAGTTCAGATGGAAATGGACTGACTACCTTGGTCAGTGATTACACGGTATAGCATTCCAAAGCACGAAATCTAGTGATAAAAAAATTCTCGACCTACTGCTTCAGCCATCGCATTTGCTAAAGGAATAACTTCTATCCAACATATGAATTGACCAATGCAGGTAAGGTAGTACATTTTCTCTTCAGAAGTAGGAAACGGATGATATCAACAGGAATAATACTAAATATATCATCTACCTCTTTAAAAGTGGCAATTTGTGCACACGTATGTCTGGAAATTTTGTTCTTTTGACAATGGATACAAGATTTTGCCCACTGGGTGGTATCCCTTCGAATGTTTAGCTAAATAAATCTGGAAGCTATTTGTTTAACTGTAGACTTAACACCAGGGTGACCTAATGTGTGAAATTTTTTAAACATGCTTCCGAAAATCTTAATGGACAAATATTTGTTGTTGAAATATCACACCAAAGTAATTTACCAGACTCCAAAGGATATGGCTTAAAATGTAAAGATAGTTTTGAGCATAGCTTGTTAAGATCTTTATTATTGATTTGTGCTCCTAGAATTTTATCATAATCTATGTCAGAGATAAATTCTATCCTGGATAGCGAATCTACAACGATATTTTCTTTTCTGGCAAAGTGACGTATATCTGTTGAAAATTCTGAGATATATTGCAAATGTCGGAGTTAGGTCTTCTTGTTTTTTGATGATAAGCAAAAGGTTTATGGTGAGTGTAAATTGTTGTCTTTCTAGAATATGCTTGAATTGTTTGATCAAGACGTATATTCCTAAGAGTGTCATGTCGTAAGTGCTACATCCTTTTTGATCATCAGTTAACTTTTTGGAAAAGAAAGCTAAGGGTTTCCAACTGCCTTTTTCCAGCTATTGCAGTACGGATCAAACTGTGCAGTCCGAAGCATGACTGAAGAGAGTTAATGGTAAGTCAGTATTAGGAAAACTCAACAATGCAGCATTTGCCTTCTCATTTTTGCATTGCTCAAATTTTTCTTTTGCTTCTTCTGTCCATGGTAGTTTGCTTTTATCTTTTTTCTTGGCACCTTTTAAATACTCATGGAGGATCGCCTGATTTTTGGCAACATTCTTGATATATTGCCTATAGAAATTAATTAGATCAAGAAAAGTGCTCAATTCGTAAATATTTTCTGGTAATCTATAATTCAAGATAACATTTACTTTTTTGGCAAGAGGTTTTGAGCCTTCCGGAGTAATCATGTATAGTAGAAATTCCAGTTGATTCACTCCCATAACCCACTTTCCAAGATTTATACAAAGACCATATTGCATTATATTCATAACAGTTCACAAAACTTAAAAATTAATAATAATACATAAAGAAAAGCATTAATAAACACCTTTATAATTCATAAATAGTAACAATTGATTTCTTACTTTTCATGAAAATTATAAAAACAAATTACCTAAAACATTCAAATTATATAGTTTAAATCCTAGCGTATATCATTGTATGTTAAGGAACAAAGATACCAGCTATAAACAGAAACATTAAAATGTATTTAACATATTTTGATTATTATTAAATCCTTTTTTCACATCTGGAAAGAAAATAACATGACATTGTGATATTTTCAACATATTTATCAAATTACATAAAAACAATCAATACTTATGTGTGAACAGGAATCTTTTTAGAAAATCAGTTCGTGCATCTATATATAACATAAGATCCCATGCTTCAAATATAAAAAAAAATCTTTGTGACAGACTTCCTTACACAAGTCACAGCAGTAATAGAAACATGGCTGCCAAGATTCAGGGGTTTGAGTTAAACCTTCCCTCCTTCTATTCTAACATCCATGCTCTTGCTGTGATTAAAGTGAGAGTGTTGATATTTATTTCTAGACTGTTTGTGGACATTTAGTTTTGAAATTTGTTTTTCTAAGTTAGAGATTTTAAGCATAGTATTCATTACAAAAGTATCTGTGCAAGCAGGATAAATTTATGTGGTTTGAGTTCAATTCAAATATTTTATTTGCTATTATCATAACAAACATATTTTGTTTGTGAGTATTGTACTATTGGCACATAACATGTGGTTTGTTTGTGAGCTCACAAACAAAATATGTTTAATGGATTCTGGCAATTTCCCAACCCATAAAGTTCACAAAACTTTATCCATTATATTTTTTCCAGCAAGTGATTTCGTTTATGCAATAATTGGCTTGGTTTCATATTGCTAAGTGAAATTCCTGTAAGCAATTTTATGACACTTATTTCTTTGCTTTCTTTAAAAGTACTTATGTCTTTCTTTAACAGCTACTTATTTATCATTCTGTTGTTCACTTTGGATTATATCCCATTTATTTTCTACTACTTTCGGTTCTAATTTTATTATAAGATAGTTAAATTTAATCTGATCCTGGGTAATATTAGCAAATGAGAACTGTGCTTCATTTTGAAGAACCAACTGTCTAGTTTTTCTTCCTAAAAAGATGGAATTTGAATTTTTACCTTCTTTGCTGTAAATTCCTCAACAGGGGTATTCATCCGAAGTGTCACCAGATGCTGAGTCAATATATGGGATAATTTAAATGATAATTCCAGAATGGATTGAGCATATTTAAATTCACAGTAATGAAAGAAGACATTAGGGTTACAACATCAAGAAGATCTTCACAAAAACAAAGATAATATTTTACATGCTACAAACCGTACAATTCATGTAAAATACTTGAAATTGCCGCAGTGGCTAATCGCATTGACGGTCTGAATGGCCTCTAAGAGACTAATCATACCACCTGCGTTAGCGCATGCGCACAATCAGCCCAGGTACAAGCATTTTACTCCCATTTGCCGTAAGGTAGGCGGTAGGAGGAAGCGAGTGTTAACAGTTCCTGCTTATCTTTTTTGTTAATTTTTAGTTATTGTTACTGAAAATTAGTATGTGTTATATGTTTGACGTTACTTGAGGACCATGGATGCATATGACAAAAACAAATTTCTTGCCTTTTGAGTGTGGAAACAAGTTTTCCATATATTTTGAATTTGAAAGAGCAAAAGAACTGTATTAAAATTAAAATGAGATCGGAAAAATTTCACAAGGGTCATAAACATCGTGAAACATTACTGTACAAATATGTTACCTTTGAATGTAAAAAAGGACATATTCATAAATAGTTATATTCTTATTCATAAAGAGTTAGTTATAGTCATATTCATAAAGAGTTAAATTCTTTTATTTAACACAGGAATTTTTATGCAAACTTAGACTCTAGTCTTATAGTATAGAACTGTCCGACTTTATTACTCAATAAGAAAACTTATTGTAAATTATAATGTTCTTTAATATGCATCACTTTTTCAGTGTCCACACGTTATAAGTTCAAATGCCATATTTCAAAATCAAAGTTATTTATGAAATAAAATCTGATAATGCATTTACGTGTGCAAATCTTTGAATCTAAATCTCTTACATTAAATTATTTTTCTTTTAAATTACATCCCATTATTCATTTAAATTTAATTTATTAATGTGTTTATACTAGTTCTTTGAAATATTTTTGTGCTGAAAATGAAGAGTACTTCCATAGAAAAATTAAACAGGCATACAAAATTGTTAATAACCAGTATTATATGATTAATTGTTAATTTAATAGTTGATTTTATCACTCTTAACTTATTTGATGTCTAAATTTTCTACACAGAAATAATACTTTGTCTAATTTTTATTATCTTTTTTCAGAGGAAAAATTTCAAAGAGGAATGAATAAAAATCTTGATTGTGCAAAACACATCTTTGAATAGAAATTTATTCTAAGAAGTACAAGAAATGTGAACGAGATTTTAGCCCCCCCCCCAAATCAGTCATTTAAACTATTCCAACTGTTCAGGAAAACGAACAGTTGGAATAGTTTATGCGAACATAAAAATAAAGGAACTGTGTTTCTTCATTTATATATATATTAAAAGGAACACATTTCCCATTCTTGTCTTTTGAAAGTCACTAACGCTTAAAAAATGATAAACTACGCCAATGTCGTAGTAACCCACCTTAAAAAAAAAAAAAAAAAAAAAAAAAAAAAAAAAAAAGACTCGCTACAACAGACTTTGGCAGTTTGCGTACTTAGGATACCTTCTTTTCAATTCAGTTCAAAAGATGGACTCCACCAGCAGCTGAGCGGTAAAATCACGGAATACTGGTAGTTTGATCCGAGGTTTGAATCCTGCGAACATGCTGACTGCATGGGTGCTTTTGTAGTTACACCCATCTTCATT